CGCCGAGCTTGGCTTGTTTGGGAGCTGAGCCGAAGGCTTCTCCACCTGCCTGGTTTACCAGAGCGACCCGGTGCCCCTCTGCGGGACCTGCCTTTGGGGACCGGCCCCCAGCAGCGCGTGCCCCCAGCCGTGCTCCTGGTGCAGGAGCATCGCCCACCTGTGCCACCTCCCGGTGGTCCCGCAGCCCGGGCTTGCTCCGCCCTTGCCTTGCCTGCCTCCTGCCCAAAACTGGAAGGGGTTGAGCCTTGGGCTCTTCTGGTGGGATCATTCCCAGCTTCCTCGCCCCGGGAGGACCCGCCAGCACCGTAGCTGATGCCGGCGAGCATGGTGGGGCTGGCGGTGCCCTGCCGCCCGCCTGTCCTCGGGCTGTCCCAGCCTGGGGGCTGGTGGCTGCCCCCTCCTTCCTCGCTTTCTTTTCCTTCCAGAAGTAGCTGCTTTTGCTCAGGGAGCAAGCGTGGGGCGGGCGGTGCTGCTCCACTGGGGCGGCTCGCCGCGCTGCCGGGCGGTGGGTTTGCGGTGGCACGGGGCTGCCTGGCCTGGTTTGTCCTCGCCTGTCCCCAGGGCCCCAAAACCCACGTTAGGAAGTGCCCAAAGAGCGAGAGAGCTGCTCTGCAAAAGTGCCTTGACGAGGAGCGGGCAGGGGCGGCGGGAGGAGCAGAGCAGGGGACGGTGAAACCCGGCGGCTCGGATGCTGCGCTGGGGGTTTGGCTGCGGTCCTGAGCAGGATGGGAGCATCCCTTGGTGTCATGTTGTTTTTGTTGTTTTTTTTTTTTAAAGGCAGGAGAAGAGCAGGCTGCCCCAGCTCTCCTCCCGCCCTCGGCATCCCGCGGTGAGGACGGCTTCCAGGGCCCTAAACCAGCTACCATGCCTGGGGGAGAAGAGCCACAGTGGGTGCTCCCCCCTGCCCGGCCCTTCTCCCCGCTCCCCTGGCCCCCACCACCGCAGCCCCCCACTGTGTAGCACTTTTCAGCCCCCTCTCCTTCACAGCATCCATGCCAGCGCTGCCCGCCCGGGGCTGGTGCTGAAGGGCTGGGAGCCACCCCAGCCGGGACCCCCCATTCCCCGCCGGGGGACGGGGTCTGCTCTCGGAAATGACAGAAAATTGTGTCTTAAAGAAAATCCCCTTTCCCTCACTGGTGCCCTCTTCCACCTGCAAAATCATGACCTGCAGTTCCTGAAGTGAGCAGAGCCCCAGTTGGGCGGTGGTGGCAGCGGTGACGGTGATGGTGGCCATGGAGGATGCTTTATCGACGGGGAGTTTCTCCCCGCAGCCCGGGGAGCAGCGGCTGGCGTGGAGGAGGCAGCTGGGGGATGATTTAGTTTTGGTTCGTTTTTGGAGGGGAAAAGGAAGGAGTCTGTCCATGGGTCGTACCGAAAGCAAACTGACGGCACGGGGGGGCTTCCCACGGTGGCTCTTCCCCTGTGGCGCAGTGGCTGTCCCCAGCCAGGCTGCAGCTCAGCGGCCCCCGTCAGCTCCACTCCTGTTGCTGGGGGCAGCTGAGAAACCTTGTAAATATGTGAAGAAAGGGTGAAATCTGAACTCTTGGTTTTTGCTGAGCACCTCAGTCTGCTGGGTCCTGAAATGGAGTGTGTCCCTTTGGTTCTTTTCATTGAAAGCATTGAAGTTTGGTTGGTTTTTTCTTTTTTTTTTTTTTTTGTCCCCCCCATCCCCCC